GGTAAGGGTTTTGTCATGTCAGTGTAAATTGGCTAGGACATAAACTCTGACAAGTGCATAGAATAACGGCATTACAAATTTGTAATGGAGATTTTCAGCATAGGTCGCTATCTAATTTATCTGATGGAAATCTGTGTGACAAATATCGTCCATAAAAACTCTCTAAGTTTAAGGCTTCACCAGACCAGATACCAGGCCCCATATGAGGATAGTTGGCACTTAGCAAAATGTTTCTAATACAAAAAGAGCCATGCTATTTCAACGTCAAAATTTGAGAAGGTATAGCAGACAACATGCAAATAAAATACAAAAATAGTGTTTTTTATAAAATGTAGAGAGATAAAATAATTAAAACGGTATATACTATGATGTGTCTGTGATAGGTTTTTGTATTGAAATGGTTTTTCTAATGCAAACATATGTGCTGACTGTTAAAAAGAAATCAGTCACACTTAAAGTTTATTGGATTGCAGATATCCAGGCTTTCAAAATAGGACTAAGATCTGTTTGAAAAATGAAGGGAATTGATTTCTATATCTCATAGGTTGTTCTCCTACCACTTTAAAAAGTCACAATTGTTTTTGGATTTCGAAGATATATTTATGGACGGATTTTTTAATATAATTTTCAGTACAAATTGATGAACCACATTTGTTTTATAAATATTTAATCTGGAGATGTATCTTCGTATCAACAATTGGGTGAACCTGGAGCTACATTTCTGTAAAAAATCTTAATATAAAATTTTGTAATTTTTTCGAAGATATATTTTTGAATGCGTTTGTTTCATATACTTGCATCAGAGCCTTCGCTCTTTCTCCTTCATTTTCTGCAAATAATAAAAAATAAAAATAAAAATAAAAAACCTGATTTGAGCTATTTTTCTGCAAAGTCATTTACAAACTTCATTTGAGCAAGTTACTTCAAGTTCTCTCATTCCATTCTACTTCATTTGTTGTAAAGTCACTCATTGGATTCAAACTTCTCATCCACAACTCTAATTTGATAAGTTTCTCACTTCATTTTTTTTTAGTTTTGTATGATGTTTTAAGTAACATAGGTCGTTTAAGATGTATTAGAAAGTAGTACATTTCAAGTAGGTAGCTGGTATAAACATGTATTCCTATTTGATTGGAGTTTAAGACATCAATGGGGTCTCATCCAGAGATGCATCTTCGGATTTTGTTTAAACTGTTTTCGGAGATGTATCTCCAGATTTAGCCTGGCTGCATTTTGGTTGCATTTTGATGTGATTTTTTATTATTATAACATGGTGCAATGTCTTAAAACAACTAGGACAGAACTATGTTCGGTCGTGTGTCCTAACACGCGCCTATACGACATGAGAGGGCCAGGGGCAGGGCCACGAGGCCATGAGTTTGTGCTACCTCGTTTGATGATTCACAATGTTAAGGTTCACAACTATCTGATTCTACTTCTTGTCGGGGCCATGAGTCCCCGATTTATGAAGCCCTTGAAGACACCCCAAAAGCCTATGAGGTCAAATCGGAGGAATCCGTTGCTAATGTGGATGCCCTTGTAGTTAGTTATCCAGGAGGCCCATTAGACGCCTCCTTACTTCATCTGTATGGAGATCATGCTGCCAGGCATGTCTAAAAATGAGAGATATATTTATTTACTTTTGCATCACAACTATTTCAAACTAATTTAATCGCGACTGATAGTGATATTTTTTTACAAGAGCGTCAATGTTTAAAATCTATAAACAACGAAAGGGAGATTTTAGATTTGGAACATCCCGATGATGACTGGTTCAAATATGTTGTCCGCTACTCTGGGCTTGCGAGTTTATGTGATGTTGCATACACAACCACAAACCATGGTATGGAAGTGACATTTGCATAGATATGGCTTTCTGAGACATCATCTTTACACCTTCTTATTGGTGAGATGTCCATCACTTTGGATGACGTCTCATGCCTCCTTCATCTTTCCATCAGGAGAAAATTACTAGACCATAGAAGGATCAATTGAAACGAAGTCATCGAGATGATAGTCACCCATTTTGGAGTTGTCCCAACTGAGGCCGCAAATGAGGTAACTGACATCAGAAGTGCTCATGTTAAATTTAAATTCTTGGAAGAATTTTATAAATACCATCTGCAGATGGTTGTGGGTGCCGACGGTGATGATATGCAGGTTGAGTATCACAGACAGTGTGCATTGAGGTGTTACCTCTTATTCCTGGTTGGCACGTCCATGTTTGTGGACACAAGTAAAACCTACATCAATGTGGTTCACCTTAAATACTTCATCAACTTGACGAAGATTCAAGAGTACAGTTGGGGGGCCACCTGTTTGGTCTACTTGTACTCAAAGTTGGACGAGCGGTGTCTTTGAAAGACAAAGCAGTTGACAGGAAGTTGCACATTATTTACAGTAATTTATGGTTACTAATATTTTCATAACTCTTTTGTCACACATGTTACTAATATTTTATCTAAACCATTTTTAGGGATAGATCATTTCCCACTTTCCTCACATTTCCGAATGAAAATGTGTGCCTAACTACACTGAGGATGGTAACGTGCTTACGCCTTTGCCTCGTCGGAGAAAATCAGGTGATCGAGCCATTATGGGTGTATCTTGACTGGCATGTAGCAAATGGCATTTCCTTTTGCCCATACGGTGGTCAACTCAGATGTATGCGTATCAGCCTGAGCGAGTGATGCAACAGTTTGGATATTTATAGGTTATTCTGAGACACCACTTAGAATCTGCTCCTTCCACCATCCCTCGCAGAGATCTTGATGTCATACTTGAGGATTTCGAGAGTCATTTGGTACCAGAAGACTATTGCAGGATGCCAACTCCTTTACATTATGCAAACAACTGCATGACATGGTTCTATAGGGTGTCACATCATATCATGACACTATATGCTCCAGAAAGGCCTTTTAGACCTTCTAATCGAGAGGTAATATACGTTAGGAATGACCACACATAGGATGTACATTGCGTTTGTCGGTGTATTGCGGATATGGTGATATCGAACATAGAGACAAGACTTTTTTTAGAAATACAGTCTCCTGTTGGCTTTCGTAAAAAGCATTATTTTTTAGGTCTGAAATGTCTTGCAGTACAGGCGGCGAAGCCGAAGTAGGTTAGACATACACAGTCATTTAGGTTTAGTTGTATATTTTTTTATTTTTGGAACAAGTTATGTATGATCGGTATATTTTTAATTTAATTTAATTAATGTATGACTTTTTTATCGTGTGTGTAGTATGTTTGTGTTTTCTAATCAATTGATGTATGTCTTTTCTAATTTGTGGCCTAAAATGACCTAAAATATAAGTTGACCTAAAAAATTATCTAAGTTAAGACAATGTTGCTGCCTAAACAACATTCAGGGGGTTTTCAGAGATGCATCTCTGAAATATCCATTGTTATATGTGCAATAAACACGCTTTCAATAATTTAAAATGAATTCAGGGAGTTTTACAAAGATGCTTCTACATACCAGATTTTGGCAAAAATGGGATGTGTGGCTAAATTACAAAGGAATTGTGTGATTTTAGGTGTGTCCAGAGATGTATCTTCAAACACAGTAAGAACATTTTGTAGTGTTTTAAAAATTGAACGAACCAGCTAGTTGAAACATTTGAATCGAGAATCGAAAGGGTCATTGGTCTAGTCTGATTGTTAGATTGGGTAAGCTGTTAAATTAGTGAAAACTGACCCAAATCAGTCAAAATCGATAAAAACTAAATAAGATTTTGAAAAACCTACGGGTTAAATACTTATTTTTTCGAAGAAAAAATGGCTCCACTTTGATGATCTTTTTTAAAAATTAAAATCAAAATATAAATAGATTTTGCTGAAAACTTATTCGAAACTTTTTTGAATTAAATTTATTAAATACGACTAATTATTTTGTTTTCAGTTTATTTAAATTTATATGAACTTGTATTTTATTTGTGTGATAACTATGTTTAAAATTTGAATTTAAATAATGGATTCGTAAAATTATAATATTTTTAAATTTTGTAGGTGTTGTATTTTTTTTTAAGACAGTCACCCAGTTCGATCAGCTTAATAATTATATAATTTCGTTATAAGAATCGATTTATTCAATCGAGTTGTCCAATTTAATTATAAAAATCAACCAAATAATTATATAATTTCGTTATAAGAATCGATTTATTCAATCGAGTTGTCCAATTTAATTATAAAAATCAACCAATGATCTAATGACTCGTTTGACGATCAGTGTAATTTTTAAAACACTTTTTTTATTTTGAGAAGTGTAGAGCGCACCTCATTAGATGGGATAAATATTTCTCAAAATTAAAGATCATTATTTCATTCTGTCAGGAACACTACTTTCAAACAAAGGTGGGGTAAATGTAGCTCTCAAATATTAAGGACGGGGTTCAACAAAAGATATTGCCAAAGTTCCATCAATTGTGTGGGTATAATGGAAATGCTAGCAACACACTTTAATATACTCTTTCTAGCACACTTTCTTTCATGAGTTGATGTTTGAGGTCCCACTAAATTTATGTATAAGGTAAGATACTTAAATCCATTTTCATAGTGAGACAGATTTAAAATTACTCTGCAGAAAATTGACTCTGAGTTCCGCCTAAACCCTATTATCTTGCAACAAAATGACCTGAATTCACTGCTGTATATGAAGCTGAGGAAATTTAAATCCATATACAAAAGATTAGACAGCTCATATTGTTAGAAATTGAAAATCTCAAATATATATATTTTAATTGGTGATCTGATTGTAGTAACTTTTGATCGCACCAACTCCGATTTCTGGTATTTATGCTGCCTTCCAAATATTAAGAGTTGGATTCAGGCAGTCGACTTGAAACAGACGTGAAAAAATTAAGAGAAAGAATTACATTATTGCGCTCATTTTTTCGGTTGATTACCTTACATCAATTTCATGGGTGTACCGCGACTGCCGCAGTCATAGACACCCATCTGTATAAAAAATGTGGAGGGAAGAATAAACAGAAAAATTAAGATGTAATTTGAATTTCATCGGAAAGATGATCAGGAGAAATTTGGCCAAAGATGTCTGGACAGGAGTCCCAGTTTCTTTTTTCTCGAGCCTCCCAATACCCTCCCATATAGCGGTATGTCCCACTTGCTTTATCCTTAGCAAACCACCGTGGTTTCCAGCCACTCTCTTGCATCTTCCGGGCCTGAATATCATTCAAGCAAATATATCATCAATCACTATTGGAAACTATAAAACTTGGGAAATAAGGATATGACATGAGATCCAGTTTCATTTTAGGGACTCCAATTTCCTCCCCACAAAGGCATCTTTTCCAACCTTATCTAATGTATATACAATCTCCTACAATAAGGTATATACTGATAATAATGGGTAATTGTTGCAGTTTTCATGGAGGTGGTATAATAAAAAACTGCAATTTTGGTCTTAGTCTTTATATATTGTTGAAAGCACCATGAAGCACCAAGAAGCTTCAGATCTCTCAAAGTACCAAACTACAAATGAAACAATAAAAGCAAAGATAAATCAGAAATGTTATATGCACCTGCCGTTGTTGCTGCTCTAGCCGCAACTTTTCTGAATTTGCCATCTCATACTCCCCATTTTCTAAATACCGTTGGTCTGGTCTTAACCTGGAATCTGTAGGCGGCAACTTTTCCTGTGTAATCACAATAAATTACAATGAATGTCCGGTAAAATGTGAAAAGCACAGGCAAACAAACACACAAACACACAACAATATACAGAATGAAGAGGACCGAACAATTTTGTTCCTTCTTTTGGATATTCTTGTTATTTTTAAATTATCCTTACTTCACCTTTGTTTAAGAAAAGGATTTGTTATAGAAGAATCAAGTCAATTCCAATAATAGCACATGTATATGTACAGCACAAATTGCAGAGGAAACTTTTCTTTTTCTGGAATATTTTTATCTTAAAATGCATAAGATTGTGGCAACACAAAAAACAGTATTAGTTAACAAAACATACCTTCAATCCAGGGGTAAGTTCATTTAATGTGATGGCAAAGCGAGTGAAGTTATATCTAGTGGGAAACATAGGAGGCTTGCTTCGTTTCCAGAGCAGACGGGCCTCTGACAAAGATTCATGACCTTTCCCCTTCCCAGTATAGTCTCCATTAACATAATGCATGCTTTCATCCCATTTTCCAAACAAGGTTGATACTGTTTTTCCGTTCCTATCTTGGACTATACCATGAACCTAAAATTGCAAGCAAACCACAATAGTAAGGGACAACCCTCTTCCAAAAAATTAATTATATACTAAATTTAAATAACAAAATTTATCACTGTGATGGAAGGGAAAACTATTAGAAGGTCTATTTTCTTTCTTTCTTTTTTTTCCTTGAAATTGTAATCCGAGCATTAGTACAAAGTGTGTGCATTTGAAGTCTATAAAATAAGACACTGTGCATTACACAAACCAGAGAGGAATGCCAATTTAATATCATATATAAAGAATCTATTTTAACTAAAAATAAAACTTATGCGACAGATATAAAGCACCTGATGGGGATTTCGATCAATTATAGACTGTTCCTTGAACTTCAGCTTACAAGAGTACTCTTGATTTCCCTCTATACGCATCGTACCATAGTGATCACAGTAAAGCTTTCCCAATATGAGATTGTATATTGATGTCGTAACCTGAAAAGGGAAGGTCCATTTTGGTTTACTTGCTTAAAACCAGACCAGGGTATGACAGTAGTTAAAACATACCTTGCTCCACTGGAAAACCTCCCCGTCATCAAATTCCAAAGTCAAAATACCAACAGGGTCAAGCTGAATTGATCGGCCCCAAAATTTGCTTTTTAAATTGCTATCCCCCGAAAATTTCCAACCTGTACCCTCACAGTGACATGCAACTATCATAGGGTGATGGCTGACCTGAGAGGAAGCATAAATGTTAATACTTTCGTATAGAGAACATGGATCGAATCCAAATAAAATAAAAAATATCATGTTAATAAGATTCTATAAATTGATGACTCAATTACACCTTTTAATTCATGAAAATCTCATTTTGACCTCAAATGATAAAAGAAAAAGCACGCATTCACACAATAGTAGATGTATGGAAGAAACAAAGAACCCGGCCCCATGAAATCATAAAGAAAATTAGAGGTCAAATTATCATGATTTTGTTGACTTGTAACAAGTAATACATTCATAATATCACTGTGTAGGATTAGATTATACACCTTCTCAGAGAAAAAACGTAGGCCTTTATCTGGATAATTGGCTTCATATGTTTCCCCAAGTAACGGATTAAATGGTTTGCAAATTCTTCCTTCTGTTGAAGCATAGGCAGATACAGCAAAAGCAGCGACATAGAGAATTCTCATGAGTCTATCACCCTGCATGGCAACTCCAATTGGTTAAAAAAAAGGGAAGAGCGCGCTAATATTACATTGAAAGGGCTAACAGGTAGGACAAAAAATCATGAAACATTTTTCTCATATCATATTGAAATGCTCATATTTTCCTTAATATGGCAGATCAATATAAATCTGTCCACCAAATCCAGACTTACCCTTTTTCCCCATTCATATGCTTGGTCCAGCAGATACGAATACTCCATTTCTTCAAAACACTTTTGCAGGGAGGAGAGAGGCTCATTAAAGTAAACAGGCAGGCAAACTTTTGTTAGATCTTTCCCTATATTATCCTTGATCATTGACCAAAGACTGACACCTTTTTCTTTCTCTACAGGGTCTGGCAATTTCTTTCGCCTCTTAACATGAGGATGGTTGGTTCCAATATATTTATTTGAAGAATCCACATCTTCCTCTGATTCAAAGGTATCATTATCAGAAGAGAAAGATGATACTCTATAATCAGACCCATTACTTTTAAAAGAACTTGATGACAGAATATCACGGGTATCAAAAAAGACATTGTCATCTTCATCTGTTTCTTCCTCTGCAGCATCATTTCTTTCATTATCATCCTCAGATTCACTTGCACTTCCATCTGAATCAAAAATAGAAAATGAAACAAGTGTAAAAAACACAGCTATGTAATAACAATTGGTTAGCAGGTACGAGCATGCACATATTACAGAGAGCAGACTATTTAAATAAAGAAGTGGAGAGTTCTCAGAAAATTAGTAGGGGAAGTTAGGGGGGAAAACAGTGCACCAGAGACAGTGGCACACAAATACTTCATGTTTCGAGAAAATGAATCGCCAGATCAATGACACATCTACATTAACCTCTCTGGCAATGAAGAAATATCTGAAGTCTTAACCATTTGCCAACATAAGGTACTGCCTTAAAAACTAAGTGAAGAGTACACTTCAACAAATAAGTGTATGAGAAAACTAATGCCTAATAAACAAGCCATTAAACAAAAACATACCACTAAATTTTTCTAGCATTAATCCATTGGAATTTTCTTGATCATTCCACTGTCTTTGGCTCTCATCAACTACTGTATTCTCCAGATCAACCTTGTCTGTCTGCAATAATGTAATAAGGGATAAAAGTTTATTAACATACACTACAACAAAAACCTTATCCTTAATACGTTAAATTGAACACATGAGGAAGCAACATGAAAAAAAGTTGAATAATAATCAATCAATACACAAGTGAAACAATTTTGTTAAAGAAGTTGAAGACCATGAGTGTTGGGTAATCTGGTGGATTTAAAGTAATGCCACAAGCCTATCATCAACGCAGAATTTAGATATCTGATTTTAAAAAATAAAATTAATATAATCATCATATGTAGAATATACCTAACTCTTGGCTCGTTAGTCAAGATGATTGCAGGTCTGAGCAATATTGTTTGAGAGGATAAATAAACAGTTTTTCACTTGGGAAGATGGACTTGCAAATTGCAAGACACAAATATACCTGAATCTATTAATGTGTCTGATTGTTGAAATAAGTGTTACTGAAAATTTTGGTACAATGTTTAGCATCAGTTGATCAGCGCTTTTAACAGAAAGAAAAGTTTAAGTTCGTGATAAATTATACAAGAGCATGGCTTGGTTTGGAGTAACTTATAACTTTTGAAAACTTCTCATCTTAAAATAAATTTATAGGTCCCCATACGAATGTCTATAGACAAGGTAAATAAGAGAGATATTGATAAATTAAGATGCAGAAGCTGATGTTTAAAAATAATAAGTTATTGCAAGACCCTTTAAAGATTGATTTTCCATGTGTTTCCTGAGAGTGTATTTCAAACTGGTTCCTAGTTTGATGATAGCAACTTATACAATTTTGCAGAAAAGAGCACTGGGTTGAGCATATACATAATAAGTTAAATGTATAATTTGAGCCAGGGCTCTGATAATTCTAACATGGTCATTAGAAATTACGGTAAAGAATAAATAAGGGAGCTTTGAAACTTCATAACAATCTCATTGACCAGTGACCAGGATCCCATATCTTACAGTTTTAATATTTATATTTGGTGACACTATGGTACCAAACAAAACTCCTACTTGAGCCACCTATATTAGTAACCATTGTCTCAATTCTGCACACAAACCATGAAACTGATTGTGCTCACAAAAACATAACAATTTACATAAGGCTGCCCCCAAGGCTAAGACACCCAGTTGAAGTTTTCAGCTTTGAATTAGATGATGTACCTCTAAGTGGCGTAAGGTGTCAATGAGGATGGAGTGTTTCTGCTTAAGCAAGACTAGTTGATTTTGTAAAGCTGCAAATTCAGTTCTCATAATTTGTTCACTGTCTTGAATAGCTGCTTCACCCACTCCTTCTTCCAAAAGCCGGTTTCTCAGTTTCTCAGTTGAAATTGTTATGTTGTCGACAGGAGCCATCAATTCACTGTTGGAAATTCGAGGAAACATATCCTTCACAGCTTGCAAAGCTTCCATCCACGCCACACGATCTTCACGTGACTCTGCTCTCAAGTGGAGTCTCTTCATTCCGGTGAAGACCGAAAATCGCTTATCATCTGATTTACTCTCTCGAATCGTTGAAACCTAACACATCAAAAATCACAAATTATTAAAATCAAATTCAAAATTGAAATAATTGTGAATACTGATTCAAACAAAATTGAATTCTAAAATAGATGAAGAATTAATCAACTAACCTTGAGATGTATTTCACCAAAGGGCTTTCGACGGTTTTGATAGGGATGAGAATTGCGATTGCGATTAATCCTCCGAATAGATTCTTCACCGATAACCTTCGAACCTTTCTCAGTTTCATGGTTAACGATGATTTTATCAGGACCGTGAATTTTATAGTAGGAGAGAACGCCATCTTGAAGAACAAACCATCGAGGTCTCCATCCTTTCCCGTAATTCACCCACTTATACAGTATCCCGGAGATTCCATTTCCGACGAGATCATTAATCTTCACATCGAGAACCACCGCCGGAGACTCCCGCTGGCTACCGATACTCTGGCTCTGGCTATGTCTCGGAACCGAGTCGGATCTAACTGCTAGCACCGCTGGCGGTGGTGGAGGAGGAGGCATAGTGAAGTCAGGAAAAGGAGACGGCGAGGGTTTCACCGGCGAGGCCTGATCGGAGATAGCGGATACACAGCAGAAAGGATGCATGTGGCCGGAATAGCCGGAATAATTAGTTAATGCAAAGGAGTTAGTGTAAAATCGATGAAGCTGACGTGGCGGCGAGAGATTGCGGCGGTGATTGAGAGAAGAAGCTTCATACTATGGGCCCTTAGGGCGATCAGAGTCAGAAAAAGAAAAACGGAACGGAGGCGGGAAGCGGAATTCGCGTGAGATGAGTTTATGAGAAAAAAATAATAAAAACGGTTACGTCTAGGTAGGAGATTTACAAGTAAAATAGAAATATAGAAAATAAACTCACGGAAAATGTAATGTGAAAATAGAAGGGACAAAGACAAAGTCTACGTCAGAATAATATGTATTAATTAAACTAAATAAATGGAAATTGAATGCAAGGAGTATATGTTTTTTAATACATATTTATTTCGGAGAAATTTAGATGGAGTGTTGGGAGAGAGAACTGATCGGAGTTAGTTATAATTCCGGTGGAAGAAAGAGAAGGAAAGAACGTTACGGCGGTGGGAGTTAGGATTGAATGTTTTTAAATAAAAAGAGGTTGGTTTGGTTGTGTGAGAGAGAGAATAACAACTATTATGATGATGATTGACTCGTCTTACTCTGGGTGGATTTAGGAGGGTTATGATTGCCTGCGATGAGGATACAGAGGATAAGAGTTAAAAGATGCCGCCGGCACAATGAGAGCGTGACACGTGGAGGGGGTAAAAGAGTGACACGTGGAGGGTGCTGTGTTTGATCAGAGATTAATGTGTTGACACTTTGACTATGATTTAGCGTTACGCGGGGTGGTTCACTGTGGCTTCCACGTTTTTTCAGGGGATTTAATAGAAATATTCGGATATTATATAGTTGCACAAAATTGAACGTACTCTGTCACATTGGAAGCTGCTGCTGCTGATGGTACTCATTTGCTGTTGTGTTGTTTGTTGTTGTTTTGCTATAACAACAAGGCAGTCAATATTTAAAAATAAAATTTGTTTGACAAAAGAAAGTTGAATTTATTTATTTTTATTTTAAATAAAAATAATTTCTATATAATTTTCAAAGTCATGAAAATATATTTGTATTTTCAAGGCGACGCCACTAATTTAATTATCTCTTTTATTAATATTGATTATCACTCGTATCATTATATCCACCATCTACTATGAGGAATCATCTATCACTATTTTTTTTTTCTAGCATTGCATTTTTATATTTTTTAATGGTCAATGTTTACCCTATTTTGTTATTTCGTTCTGATTTGTTCTCACATTTTTTTAAGGGTTATATAAAAATAATTAAAATTTTGTTTTTGAAATTAAAAAAAAAAGAGAGAGCATATCCTACAAATATGGTACTATGTTTATATAGTATAAGAAAATATTTATTGATAAAAAATTAAGATTTTAAATCTTTAAATTACAAAATTGGTTAATACTAATAAATATAGAAAAAAATTTATTCCAAATTTTAAGAAAGAAAAATGCATATTTTACTAATATAATTATCCATTCTTTTGATTTGGTTTGTATAATAATAATTAAAAAATAAAATTAATAATACATTAAAAAAACTTGAATAACATTAATTTTGAATTCTTTGGGTTAAGCATATAGACAAAAATATTATTTTTATCTTTTAATTTTATCTTTAAATTTATTTTCATCCTTTAACTTTAAAAAGTTAATTTAATCTTTTAAATCTTTAAATAATGTCTATTAGTCACGGTCAAAATAGATTGTAACATATACTCATTATCAAGGTCACCAAAGTTATTAAAAAATATTGCCATCACATGAATTCAAACCATTAACGCATTGGTTGCTAGATAACTACTTATTTAATTATTTATGGTTTATTTAATTAAAAAATTAAATATATAATAAAATCTTAATTATTTATAAAAAGAACTTAACAGTTATTTCTTTTTTAATTTCTTGTTCTGCATAGTAAACCTAGAAATTGAAACACCATGGTTGAAAATTTTTTGTCATGTGTACAATCTTAATCGAAATCGAAATTCAAACTCAAAAATTATTCGACAAATCTTCCTACTATTTATCAACATCATAGTAAATTGGCCAACAATTGCAACAAAGAAGTTGAACCAAAATTAAACTTGCAGATTCAAGAATCTCTATATCTGGATCTTATGGTGGCTTTGGCGGCAACGAGTTTGATGTGGTGGCGAATGTGACGAAGTTGAACCAAAATTAGATTTGTAGATTTGGGAATTCCACATCTGGATCTTATGATGGTTTGGCGGCGACGAGTTTGATGTGGTGGCAAATGTGACGAAGTTGAGCCAAAATTATATTTGCAGATCTGGGAATTTTCATATCTAGATCTTATGGTGACTTTGGCGAATATGTGTTTAGAAAATATCTCTTGTTCGAAAAAGGGTTGGAAGGTATATTTCTCCTGAGACGATTAGTCTTTAAATAGTAGTTAGGCATGATATCACTTGTTAGACATGTAACTCCACACACAAGATGGGGATGAATTGTTATGATTTGAAATATAATTGTTTAAAACAATTTTTTTTTTTAATTTTTGGAGTTCAAAAGCATTTTCAATAAAACATTTGAAAATAGCAATGGAAAATAAATGGAAAGAAAATATGTGGAAAATAAAAAGATAAGGGAAAAGAGAATACATTAGAAATTACAGAGGTTCGGCCTAAATGAAGTGACTTAATCCTCTCCCTAAGACTTGATATTGAGAGTACCCATCAATACTTATAAAAATTTAGTAGGTTGAGTATATGAACCCCTTATACAAGAAAAATGAAGTTTTTGGTTAACTTTGAACCAAACAAAGAATAGTGGATTGAAGATGTTAGTCTTGTTAGGTGTGAATATGGAAGTAGAAAAACGATCTAGAGGAGGTGAATAGATCCAAATAAAAAAACAACCACCTTTTTAAAAAGTTATTAGAGTGTTTTCCAAAAATGCAAGCGGAATGTTTGAAGTGAAAATATGAAAATTATACTTTTCAAAATTTTAATCACGTACACTAAACTGTTTCACAAACACCGAAGCTGAATATGATGAAACACAAGGTATTTGATTGATTCAGTTCTATCATCCACGAGGTGTGTTTATGCAACTATTCAATATAGTGAATTCTAACCTCAATTTTTTCTTAGAAGTTAATCACCAAATTAGCTCAATGAGGTATTCAGTTCTAACAAAACATAATGCTTACGTAGTAAATTGCTATCAATTGAATAAACGGTAAACTAAGCTATAATCAGAATACTTAAGCATGCAAATACTTTAAAATTAAATGCAAGAGTCAGAGAGAGAGAGAGAGAGAGAGAGAGAGAGAGAGAGAGAGAGAGAGAGAGAGAGAGAGAGAGAGAGAGAGAGAGAGAGAGAGAGAGAGAGAGAGAGAGAGAGAGAGAGAGAGAGAGAGAGACATGGGGGGATAGAGAGATGAAAATTATAGTGCTTCGATGTTTGTCTTCGCTTTGCCTACATGAAGTCTTCAATGATTTCCCATTGGAACCTTCATTGTTCCTTTTTATTTGACAAATATTTGTAAGAGTTCATACAATCACCAATCCACAATAATGCTGAGAAAAATAAATTCCCTTATCAAACGATGCTATGTAATCTTTAGTCGATTAACGCTTCTTGAATCTTCTGATAACACCAATCTACTTCAAGCCTCCAAGTGTAGAAATCAACTCCTTGATACTGATTCTTTAAGCGATGAATTGTCCGAAGATTTAAGAAGAATTTTGTCTTAGTCGTAGTCTTCCACACAATCACTACTTAGGCAATTCTAGAGAGAAAAACCTACTTCTTTTCAATGGAATTTGTCATCAACATCGACAATCACCTTAATCTTACAAAAAACCTGAAAAAGCATCACCGAAATCTTCAAGAAATATTAGTTTCAAGAATGTGGCTTCTTTAATCAACGACAAATCTCTTATTATCAAGTTCTGAATCAAATTGAAGTTGAAGATGCAAGAATTTCATTGCAAGAACTTTAAACTTTCAAAACATTGGAAATTGTTTTTTCACAGAATCATAATGATGATTATGATACTCACTATGATCCGTTACATGATAAATGATGACAAAAAGGTTTTATAAGGGCTTGAATTTAAGCACTGAAAATGATTGAAAAAGTCAGTTAGATTATAATCAAAAGCATTTCATGATTTGGATAAAATGAACAAGTGAAGTGTGTTGCACCCCAAAATTTGACCAACCGGGTCTCGTATCTGGCTCGAGGTTTCGACGCATAATCGCATTCGCCTCTGCATATTGCATACATTGCATTTTTCATTTGTTTTGATTTTATCAGGGATCACAGCTCTCGTCTCGTGTTTCGGGTGTTTTTAATCAGTTTGGATAGATAGAATCGATTTTTGGGATATTTCGGTGCCCGTTTATTTTTACCGATTATTTTTGTGTCGTTCGGTGCTCATTTTGTCCCTCTGGGAATTATGGTGATTTTTCTGGATTTTATTGGCATTTTTTAGGGTTTAAATAGCTTTTGGCATTTTTTAGGATTTAATAGGATTTTTAAATAAATTTTTTTAATCATTTTAGATATTTTTAAATAGCATTTTCTCTTTTTAGCATTTAAATAGGATAATATAGATTTTCTTTTAAATAATATAGAGTAATATAGTTTTAGAATATTAATAGAATTTAATAGCATTTTTTTAGAATATTAATAGGGTATTAATGTTTTTTAAATAGTTAATAGCTTTTTTTTAATCTTTTAATATAGATTTTTCCTTATTAAATAAATAGTTTTTTTTCTTTTATTAGTAAATAGAATTTAAATAGATAGTATAGTTTTTAATAGTTTTATTAGAATTTTATTAGGAGTTAATTAGAATTTTTAGGGTTAATTGAATTTTAATAGTTAATTCAAGATTAAATTTAATTCATTGTTCATTAGTATTATGCAGTTTTTTTTGTGAGTTTTGTATCAGTTTTTGGTGGGCCTCCTAGTCCATTTTCGCAGCCCAGTTTGCAATTCAGAATATGTCCAAAAAGTCCAGT